GAATTACAGGGAAAAATCAATACATCTCTGAACAGCCATCCTGCATTTCCAAAATCTTTACCCTGGCCACATAGCCATTTTTAAACTTTGCATCTCTGCCTTCCCAGAAAAATGATAACTGTTTTACTGATTAGCCTTATAAAACTTCCAGATAATAGATGCCAAGCAACAACAAAAAGTGCATGTGTGCCCCAAACCCACCCCAAACCAAAACCCACCTACTTGAAATGCATTGCTGTGAGCTTGTTAAGTAATATTCTAGTTACTGCATTTACGCAAGCGTATGAAACACAAGCTTCTGGGACAGATCTCGTGATTCTTTATATTTTCTCTGTGTGTGTGTATATGCATATTCTTTTAACAAAGGCTGCTTGCTGAATTATATTAATGTTTGTTTAGCCTATTTGTGCATGTAATGGAAATTGTGAGAAGACAGGTAGCACTTGGCAGCTGCTGATCACGTATGTGTTATTGTGTGAATTATGCTGGTGAATTTTGTCAACTTTTGCCAGATCTCAACATTTGGCCAGTATATTTGAGTTAATTACAACCATACCTAAACTAATTATTCATGTATCTGGCAAAAATAACCTTTTAAAATTTAAATCTGTTTTTCAGTGTAGACACAGTTGAGTTCTTTATAGTGTTTCATGCTTAGCTCTTGCTTTTATCAGTCAAATTATTTTAAATAGAAACTCCTCTTGCATTTAGAGTTGGCAACATTATGTATGATTAGTGTTCCTGGACTACTTCTTTTGTTCCAGTGGTTTTTTAGTTCATTAATGTTTTGTTAGCAAAATTTTAAAGGGCAAGGTACAATAAAGGGATACAGTATTTCTGCTATTAAAATGTATTTTGAAATTCTTCTGCTTGGTTTTGAAAACTAAATACTGAGAGTAGTTGTACTACAGCAGCTGTATGCATTTCTATCTTTGGAAGAATCATTGAGTCAAACATGTATATGCATTTATTTCAGAAAAGACGCAGGAATCTTCTGGTATCTTTATGTAATCTAAATATAAATCTAAAGGAAATGTCCTACAATATTATTGCAGTTTTAGCAATCTATTATAAAGTTTATTGCACAGAAATAACTAGGTCAACCTCTGGATGACCTGTCTTTTGGAGTTTCTTCAGTTAGCTTTAGGCGAGAGCTCCACCTTGTGATCTTTCAGCATGATACATTTTATAGTTAATAATTTAATTATGATTTCACAAAGTCAAGTGACTTTGGAAAGTTTTCATAGACTTGAGAGATTTCAGTATCTGCTTGGGAAAATTCAAGTTGAAATTCTGTGAACATGCAAAAAAAGAAACTGAAGAAGAGCTGCTTTTTATGATGCATTTCAGTTTAGATTTAACATTAAAATGATCTGATTATTAGAGCATGTTTCATAGGTAATGTAGACTTTCACTGTTTGGAATGGCATCTGCAAGAATTTCACTTTCCTCTTCTTGGACTGCACTGTGATGAACTTAGTATATATTAAAAGTTCTGAAAGGGTGCTTATATGGACTGGTTTTGTTTCTTGCTGACTTTCCAAACCAGGTGCTTTGAATGAGTCATCAAGTATGTGCATGAAGAAGACATGGCTGGGTAGTCTGGAATTTCCAGAAGGCATTAGTGAGATCAAGGATAATGGGGAATGACCAGTGCCAGTCTTTTCCCAGACCAAAACAGGAGAACATCAAATAAAAATGGAAAGTGATAAATTCAAAGCAAAGAGCATGCCTCTTGGTTGTATGGAGTTTGGCTGTGGAGTTCTTGTATGGAACACCATTGCTGCTGAATATTGAGTTCAAAAAGTAATTGGAAATATTAATGGAAAAAATATTGATAAGGGGTTATAAAATATAGGGACAGCCTCTCTGGCTGAAAAAATCCCCGAGTTATTTCTGGATGCCAGGAAGGTGTTCAGGGAAACGTGTTCTTCCTTGAGCAGCTTCTGTTGGCCACTGCCAAAGAGGACATGCTGGGCTAGGTTGGCCCTGGTGGTTGAGAATCAGAAGTCCACATCATATTCTGGATGTATGTAAATCTTTTAAAATGATCCTTTACTGGGACAAATGCAGGGGTGGTTTTTTTTTTTTTTTTTTGGTCATTGCTGGAGTTGGAGCTTGACGCTGGAGATCCCTTACAGTCTTACCTTGTATGTTCTTGCAACGTGTTCATCTGTAGCTACTGTTTTCCGTAATACCAGTATAGAGTTGCACACGAGGGCCAAGTTTCTTCTTCCTTCAAGAAAAACAATTCTTGAAACATAAATCTTAGTAGCTTAACGCTTCAGCATCTAGCAAGAACTTGATTACTTCTTTCCTATTTTATAAGGTCGTTCTGACCAAACAATGCCATGTTTTCTTTCATGTCTTGTTGTTTGTACTAAGATGAACAGTTCTTACAAGAAGTTCAAGTTGGTATAAACTGCAGCCAGCTAGTTTTGTCAAGTGATTTATTTGACTTGTTTGATGTAGAGAATATATACTTTAATAGTTTACCCATCCTTTTTCGTAGTTTTGTTACCAAATTTTTCCTATAAAATATTTCTGTGTTTGTAAGAAATTTTATTGAGAATTTTTGCAGAATTTGATAGGACAATAGATTTGCTTTTCATGAAGGGAGCTAAAAATGTGTTAATTCTGTGAACAAGTGGTTAACTTGCTTTGTTTTTCAGTACTTTCAATTTTATGGAATAGGTAATTCCAGTATTGCAAATAGGTAGTATTAATGAGCCATACTGTGAAATTTGCATGTGAGCACCCTGATTGTCATTTTAGTAGATGTGTTGCTTCTTGACATTGGAAAATGTTAACTAGAAAAAGTCAAAGAACAACATGGTGATAGACAGGTTGAACTTGAAACTGAGCAGTGTGGTTTTTGAAGTTTGCATCTTTGCTTCGCATTGGGACTGAATCACAAGCATGCCCCAAAAAGGACTTGTGTGGCTGGATCTCTTTCTTTTTCTTTTTTTTCTTTTACCCCTCTGAGCAGGTGCTAGCCTGATGACCAAGGCACTAAAATGTGCTGTGGCATTTTTCCAAGTGCAGGTTGCTGACAGGAATCAGAGCAAATCTTTATCTAATCCAAAGTGTAGAGCATTTTGATATGTCACCAACTGAGCATATAGTTTTACAGCCAGCCTGGATGGTGTAATAGCTCCTTGCCACCAAAGAAGGGAGTTTTACTCTTCCCTCCCCTGCTCACGGCTACGCAATCTGGTGTTTCCCGTGCATTGGCTCCGGATACCTGCTGTTGAACCAGTTCAACTTGATAATCAGGGGAAAAAAATTCTTGAGGTATAATTTGCCCATTTTATTGGGGAATTGAATCAGGTGATACTGAATGGCAGAGCCTACAAAGATAAATGGCTGGGGAGGGGATGGTACCCTGCCTGCGACTGATTGTTTGCTAAAGGGAGTGTATTAATGGAGCAGGAGAGGATGAAGTGCAGCGGTCATGTGCCCATGTGGGTTTCGAGAAGGGAGGAATGGGGTGACAAAGGTTGCTGCCATTCTGCAGCAGCAATGTTTTTGAAGCTTTTCTTCTTCTACTGTGTTCTGGATGGAACATGCTTTCATAGTTGCAGACTATCTTGAGATTCACTGGCGTATCTTGAACCTCCTCTCTTTTTGCCACTCTTTCTTTCCACTCTGGTTCTCTGCTTTTATGTAATTGTGTGAAATGTAAAGAAAGAGAACATAATAAGTTCAGGGTTTATGGTTTCTCTCAGCTCTCTAAATTCTGGAAGCTACAGTGGCCCCTAGCATTCAGAATAGGCACTTGCAGGAAAAAAACCCATACAGCCTCTATCTCCATAGTCAATTGAAATGCAGTCTCTGAAGCATAGCTACCAGACGTTAAGCAACATGTGCTTAGCATGCCAAAATTAAATCTTTCCCTTAAATACCTAATCACTCCAGCAAGCTGTAGAGTCAGCAGACGTTGAAGGTTTTTCTCCTTGCTATTGTATCTTTAAAATACCTGAATATCATGCTTTCTTAATTTAACTGTTTAAGTTAGCCTGGGGCAGACAATTGGTGTTAGAAAACTTTAGCCTGCATGGTTAAATCTCACATTTGAAATATCCAGTAAGTTGTGGTTCCCCCCCCACCCCGTAAACATAGGAAAATTAGATAAATATCAGAATTTATGAATAGGTGGCAATATTATAATGAAGTTGAAAAGCAAGTGTTTCACAATCTTACATTTTCTTGATAAAATGCTATGCTGTTTCTGATGTTTCTCTTTATAACATGTGGATAGTATTATCTTCCTTGATATTCTTAGAGTCTTGTCAAATGCTTTAAATGTTAAAACTGCTGTAAGCCTGGTTTATCAGCTCTGGAAGACAGGGAGTTGTGAAACAGCTGGCTAGGTTATGAGAACTTGTTATAAGAGCTTATCTTTGTGGAAAATGTCATGGAAGTTTACAAATCGGAGATAAAAAGTTGGTATACGTCATGTCCTTAAATGTACGCATATCATGCTTTAAATTTAACATCAAATCTGGTTTTGGTTTGGTTAACCAGAAATATCCTAGTGTTGGTAAGTGTGGGGTCTGCAGTGCATGGTGTTACGGTTCAAACTTAAATCTAGTATAGATTCAGAAATAAAAGCTATTAGTTGCAAGGTGTTAATGAAAACCATTCCAATTTGCTCATCCTATTCAAAAAATGGGTTTTGCCAAATGTTTTTGTATTTCATTTTACTGCGATGCTTTTAAGATTTGTGAAGGTACTTTGTAGTAAGATCACGGGAGGAGTCAAAAATGTAAAATCTTTAGGCAGGAAAAAGCTTGGTTGGAAATAGAGGGTGGCATGATCTAAATTTTCTGTGTTTCCAACTTTTTTACCCCTTCATATGTGGAAAAATTTTCACTGTATTTATTTATTTTATTCTAGAAGTTGTCCACTACAAAGGAAGAAAGAAAAGTAAGCTTGTACTTCAGACTGGTTTTTGAATATCTTTCTAATACAGTGGTGTTCCAGAAGATGATAAAGAAATGATAGCAGCTCCAGAAATACCAACTGATTTTACTCTCCTTCAGTAAGTGTTTTAAGAATTTGTAGTTTCATTTTCAAATGTACTCGTTTTTTTTTTAGTGTTAATACATATGGTTGGTTTTCTCTTGGAAACAAGGAAGCAAAATGAGGGGAATAGGGTTCTAGATTTTTTCCTACAGAGATGTTAATAAAGCATTGTCTGAATTATTTCTGGAGTATTCAGCAATAATTAAGTATTTCTAAAATATTTAATTATTTTAAGTAATTTTTTAAACTTTGCTAGTAGGAAGCCATTGTGCCAGACACCTTTTTGTTTGTTATGTACTTCTCAGGATTTTGTCTTTAAAAATGAAATGTTTGAATAAGAAATTCTTTGATTAGGAATACAAAAAAAAAGTTTCCTT